AATATTTAGACATTGTAAATTTCACGTGCAAATAACTGCCTTATTATTTGAAAATTGATATTTTTGCAATTGATTATAGCATTGTTGTGAAATGTTTATTTGCGAATTGACATCCCATAAATTGTGATAATTCCGTATTCTAGAATTTCTATAAGAGTTTTTCTATACATATTAGATTGGCAATTATGCTAGAATGTCTTTACGAACTACTACCTTTCTAAATTTGAGCCCAAAATATTTGATTAGTTATTTTTGAAATGTTATTGAAAGTGACTGTTATTAATGGTTTCAGTGAAATTCATATTAATGATTTCAGTGATATGTTGAGTACATGATATTGCTGCTTTCGAATGTTTAAAGAGATATAGAAATACTTTAAGTATGCAAGTGGACTCATCCGGTTCGCCGGTGAGGTATAAGTGGATCTATTCGGAACGTCGGTAGGGATTAAGTGGACTCATCTGGTACCCCGATGAGGTATAAGTGGACCTGCAGGGATTAAGTGGACTTATCTGAGACGCCGATAGGGATTAAGTGAACCCATTAGGACGCTGATGGGGTATATAGGTGACCTACTTGGGACGCCAATAGGGTTAATTTGTGAAATTCTTTGAATTATGCACTGTCGTTAAAATGTTATATGCATTTCAATTATTCGGATTATACTTAATTATGCATTTTTGAAAGTGAAAATGTTAATGCATTTCTGTTAATAGATCTCCTTTTTGAAAATATTGATATCTTTTAACCATGATTATTTTTAGGATTATAATAATCACTTACTGAGTAGCCAAACTCATCAAATTATGGTAAACATTTTTTAGGATAACTGCGGTTTCATTTTGAGTGCTCGTCAGGATCAGCTTTGGTTGTAGTTGTGCTTAAGCTTTCTTTTGTTACTTTGTAAGAATTCTTCATTGTAAATTTTTTGACTGTCATATCTCAGGAATATCTGTATTGTAAATTCTTGGGGTATGACAACACCTCTTAATGAAATAATTGTTTATCTCAATTCGCAAAAGATTTCTTCTTGAAATTTTTTTTATTGGAAATTAGACTCAAAAGGAAAGCATAAATCATGGTGTGAATCTCAAATAATACATTTCTTCGTAAAAATAAATCAGTGACATTCACGTCATAAAATAAATCATACTGTAGAATTCCAAGATGAACACTACCTAATAAAATTTTATTTTCTTCCTACCCTCATGGAGTTTCCCTTTCAAACCAATTTTGTTGAAAATAGAGACATAATGGTAACACATATGTTTTGACAAGTCTCACATCACTTTGTTAAGTACGCTTGATAAATATAGCTATTCATGTCTCAATGAAGAACATACCAAATTGCAGAAAATTCAGATGATCTCGCTTCAATCCAAATTTTTTATTCCTTACTTCTTATAGATATTTTTCTCTCAAATAAATTTTATTAGAAAATATACTCATAATGGAAATTTAAAAACTTAGTGTAGGCCATAAAATATTTTGTTACGATTAGAAATAAAATCATGACTTCCAAATCATTGAAATAATGTTCGTTACAGAAAACAACACTTGTGCATCATTCAGTAAATTGACCATATCTTTCAAACCACAAGGAATTTCTAATAAAAACTATTTTTTTTAAAATTAGACTCAATGTTATGAGTTATAATGAAAATTCAGCTGAAAATAAAATCATATGATTGGTGGAAAAATTCACGGAACTCAATTGACAGTTCTTGAATTTTTCAAGGTTAAAACTGATACCCTTCATTGATGAGTCCGTAACTCTCAATTACCATTGGGTTTCCCAATAAAATTTTGCAAGTAGATCATAGTCTAAAAACCACATAATATCGCTGAAGTATGAAATAGAAAAATACTTCATTATCTTTTTCATATCACTGTTCTAAAATAACATGGAATACTCATTCTGCAAAGTGCCTTTTCAATGTTTGAATATTCCAATAATTCTTAACCGAAGGTGTATTACTTAACCACAAAAGTCTTTAGCTTCCTTATATCTCATTCTCAACTCACCCAAATAGTAAAATAAAGAAATAGGGCATCAAGTTAATCTTTCTTTGATACCAATAAAAGAAAGACTCGTGTGATCTAGCCGGTTTCTTTCTTGTTCAATTCTTTTTCTTTTTCTTCTCGGGTTAGATCACTTTCAAGTTGTCATTTTACAAATAAAATAAAGAAAAGAATACAACTAGGATCTCAAGAACTTGAAGCCATTTAAAATCTTTCTTTTAATAACAAAGAAAAGGCATAACATATGCTTGAGAATAAAAAACACAATAAATAAATATAAAAGAAACAAAAGAGGGTGCTGGAGATTACATCAATCAAGCTTCTTACACCCCACACTGATTCATGACCTTTCGATTGTGCGTAATCTAATGGTCAACCTTTAATCTCAACCGGAAAATCAAGTTTGGACAAACCACACGAATGAAACATGAATCCTTTTGATCATAAAACTCAAACCCTTATGATAACCTAGTTTGAGAGATGTCAACCCTCTATAACCTAAAACCCCTTAGGTTCTTTTCAATGTGGGATAGAGTGAAAGATCTCAAAGATGAGAGAGTGGGGTGTGCCCCTTATGGCTAACTTGAAGGAGAGAGCAGATGGGAGAGAGATTGGTTAGAGTGGGGCATGCCCCCTAGTTGATCAAGAGAGAGAGAGAGAGAGATAGAAAGTGTAAGGTGTAAAAATTTGAGTAGGGTACAATCCCTTTTTATAGTGCTTGAAAAAATTTAGGGTTTTCCTTGGCTTACCAATCATATGGGATTAAATATGCATCATTGATCTAGGATGACTTGTGAAGTAAGAGATATAACTTCTCCATTCTATAGATGACCATCATACGGAAGGTGCTAAAACCATTATCCCCAACTTCCTAAACCATTTTTCCAACAAATAATTCAAATAAAAAAATATTATATGATAATATTATCATTTTTTTATTTTATGCATACACTTTCTCATACATAGCAAATTTTCATTCAAAATTTCCTCAAGGCTTAATCTTTTTTAAAACAACACTTTCTTATCCCTCAAGCTTTAGAGCTTGATCACACAAAAAGGAAATTATTCCTAGGTGGGGTGTGCCACCCATTGTGGCACATAATGGGCCCTACCTAATTTGCTATGGTGGGCCCACAAGTCCTATTGTACTTCTTATGCAATTTTAAAAATAATATTTAATTTTTAGAAATTCAGAAAATCATATTTGAATATTTAAAACAATATAAAATCTATATCTCTGTTTTTATAAAGATCCAGAGATTTAGAAAAATTCAAATAATAATTCTAGAAAAATATACATTATAAAAATGAATAAAATTAAATACTTTGATAAGAAAATGATCCATATGGTCTACGAATAAATATGCATTGAGGCACTCTACCTCCAACTACGAACTATGGACTACATTAGCTTTATCAAACTGACCCAACATTGTCTGAGACCCAAAGTCCATGCAGGGGATTATTAGTGGGTCACCAAAGTCTAGCCAATGAGCAATGTGTCGAGTCTTAACATATGGATATCAGGTCCCCTTGGAGACGAAACCTAGGTCATCCTGACCTAATGCAATCCATTGCTTGATAGTGCACATGAGATATCTCTCGCACATATACACTCTTCACTCTGAAAGGTGGTTCACTTTATTAAAATTAGCTATCAATATGCATGTCGTGTGATGATACGTATGATGAGGCTTTGGCCCTGTATCTGAAGGCTTCCATCACACACAATAATCACACAGTCTCTTGGCTCACTCTTCTAAGCATACTCCGATCTCATCAACGGATAACACATCTAGCCCTTATCAGTTTGTTTATTTATGACCATGTAACATGAGTTTTTTCCAACCAAACCGACCTAGCACGTTAAGCACAGTCCAGTAACAACAACTATTGTTTGTTTAGTATGGTTCACATGGGACCACACTCTCATTAAGTTCTTGTCCCACTATATAATTCATTTACACGCACTCATAAGGCCTTTAATGACATTTCATGCTTACCACAAGGAGGGAACTCTTTCTCCACTGAACTACCTAAAAAAAGGAAAAAGATTATTCCCATTTGATATAAAAAAGTCACAATCACCCTTAGTTATGAAATTCAAAGGCTTGTGTCATTAACTAGCTCAAAGTGCTAAAGTAACTCTTGAACTTGTAAGACATTCCTAAATATCAAAATTTACATATGATAGTTATTTACCTTATTGTACCAAATGCAACCAATCCTATTGCACATGATCCCTTAGATCACGCTCTGAAAAGTCGTCTAACTGATTTGAAATCGTTTGAGTTGATTTGGGAGCAACTAGACCGGTTCTCCCCTAGAATTAGGAGATTTGCTTACATAACCCCCAACAAGACAAGCTTTTATAACCCTCGTTTTTATTGGTCTTTGCTTATCCTTATTTGAAGCCCATTTTGATGGCACCCCACATCCTAATCACCACATTGTGGTTTTCATTCCCACCACTAACACCACCCCACTAACATCTTAAAAAAATGCTAACTCATAATCTACTTGAAAAAACGGGTTGGGGCTGTCTTCTCAACTGAATTACCTAGAAAAAGAAGAAGAAGCCCATTTTGGTCCATTTTGTAGATATCTATATCTCTTAGCCACCTTTAAGATCCATAAATAAAATCGTTTAAGATAAACACTTGCCTTCGGCAGATATTTTTTTTAATCAAAATAATGCTATATTTTGAGCCTAAAAAACATAATATATCTTTCTTGTAATTTATCTCTCAGTTTTGGAGTCTTTGACTACAATTTCTTCGGAGATTTAACTCTAGAAGATATTAAGTTCAATCTACAACATGCAATTTTTATTTTTATCCTATTTTTTTTAAATTTTATTTTGCTCGATTATTTTATTTTCTTATAAAAATTCTCGACCGGTCGTTTAGATATTCCAGTCTTCGATTACGGTTTTTTTTTTTTGTTTTTTTTTTTTCACTGGTCCGGATGTGCCCACTCAACGGTGTAAGTCTGATCGGGCCGGTTACGGGTTCACAGCATCGGACCGATTTCCGCGGATATCGTACGATGGTTTTTATGTGTAGTGTCTGGTTCTCTAAGCCCACTGAATTCACTCCCTGTTACAACCCTAACCCTTATTTCATCACTTCACAACTCGGACATGGGTTTGCTTTTCTGGAGAAAGCCGAAAGAAGCCGTTCCTTCTACCAAAGAAAACCCCAACCAGAACGAGAAAAAGCCTTCAGATTCTAACCACTCATCTGAACAAGCCGAGGAGCCTTCGATCTTGGATGGAGTTGTGGAAGAGGTGAGAAGGCCTCTTGATGCTACAGTTTTTGAGTTTGGTTCAGTGGCTGCTTCTGCTGATAAAGTAACTCTTGCGGGTTTTTGTCCTGTTTCTGATGAGCTTGAGCCATGTAGATGGAAAATATTACCTTCTTCAAGCAATGATGCTCCTCAGTTTAGGGTAGTTTTTTAATAATATCAGTGAAGAAGAAGATATGAAGATATGACTTGTTTAATGGTTTTATTAGAGAATGAAGTTATAGTGGTTTGGAATGCTGGAAATAGTTATAGTGGATGGATAATTTTGGGCACTTTGCTTGAGCTTTTGAAATTGTGATCTTAATCTTATGCTACTTGCTTGGTGTAAGTTGTTGATTCTTATTGTGTTTTATTGATTCCTAAAAATCTAAAATCAATGGATAAAATGGAATAAACTAAACTAGGAAGGTGAGGTTGCGAATTATTTTATTTATAGTTATTTATTGGTTAATTTGTTGATTGGTGAATGTTAAATTTTAGCATCTCTCAGTTGCAGAAGACTTAAATTTACATTGTTTTGCCTAGACACAGGATTAAAGAATACTTTTTGGTTGAAGTTGTAATTCAATGGAGTTTAGTTTGTAATTTATTGAAGGATTTTTTTTTTGGGGTAAATCAGTGGGGATAATGAGCCCCTATTCGTTTTGTTTTTATTAATGAATACAAAAAAAAAGGTTACATCACGGAGGAGAACATTTACGAGAAATTAACCATCCCTTTCAAGAGGGACATTGGCATTATCCCGCGAAATGAAGGGAGTGACAAAATCAGGGGGACGGGCTCGTCAAACTGTGGTTTGCGCCATGAATGCCGCCTGCTTAGCAAGGCAATCAACAGTCAGATTCGCCTCCCAGAATATATGCAATATCTACCACTGGTGATCTACAAAGGAGTAGAGCTTTGCCCTACAGTTGGACAAGAGGATGTGAAGCCTCCATGGGGAAAAGTTGTGGTAGGTGAGTGAGTCTACTAGCAACTTGGAGTCACTCTCAATGATAAGAGATCGACAATCCATCTCATGCGTCAAGGAGATGCCTTGATCATGGAACTCAGCGGCATTATTGGACTGGTGCCAAGAGGGACAACAAAGGCCACTATGAAGCCACCTGTGTCATTTATGATGATCCCCCCACATCCCGCGCTGTTTGGGTTGCGAAAGGACGAGCCATCGATGTTAAGTTTAAAATACCTTGTAGGTGGGAGAGACCATGTAATCGGGATTAGGGTGGAGGTGGGTGCGATATGCCACTTAAACTTGAGGTTTGTGGAAATATGAATCTCAGAGGGGTGGAAAGCCCAACCTTTCCCTTCTGCTAACTTGCTCACAAAGTGGATGATGCACCCCAAGAGGTGCTCCCTAGAGGTCCTTCTCCCTTCATGAGTACATGCATTACGCTTGATCCACAAGTGCCAGATAGTGGTGGAGAAGGTGAAAATCCAAATGTTTTCATACCATCGGATCTGAACTGGAACTTTAGCCACTTCACCAACATCATGATTACAGATTGCTCAAGTGGTATGTGTTTGCCAAATCTTCATAGTATGGATCTCCTAAGCACATTCGAAAACACACATTGTATAATGATATGGTTTGATGACTCTTCCTCTTGGAGGCAGAAGGGGCATCCAGAGACCAAAGGGAGGCCCCTAGACTGGAGGAGGCTCGTGGTGGGTAATCGGGAATGCAAAGTGAACCAAGTAAACCACTTTGCTCTAGCATAGGATGGGGTTTTTCAATGAGCCCTGAAAGCTGGTTGTATGGGTGCATTTTGTCTGATATGATCCCAAGCATCACTAGCAGAGAACTTGCCATTGGTTGAGTGAATCTATACCAATTAGTTCAAAGAGGGGCAGATTGGGAGCATAAATGAATAAATCTCCTCCCATGCACAGATGAGTGGAGTAGAGGTAGGTATCGGAAGAGTCTATTTTTGTGGTGTACCCTCAATGTAATCTGAGACTTTAGATTTTGCTAGGTTCCCAAAGGTCTCGTGAGCATCGGCACCATATAGCTCCCATAAGGAGGACTCTGAAAGCCATGGGTCAGCCCAAAAGTCCACTAGCTTGCCATCATGAAGTATCCATCTTACATGCCTTGCAATCTACTCAAGCCATTTAGTATACCCCGCCAAGCATGTGTGCAGCTCTTAGGGTGAGTACCTATGTTTGAAGAACCGGGAGAGGAGAGAGGAGGGATTGGAGATGATTCTTCATGCTATCTTCATCATACCCGCCATATTAAAGTCATGGAGTCTACGAATCCTAAGGCCCTCTTTTGTTTTTTGACATATAGTATCCCAGTTCACCAAGTGCAAACCCCTATTCTCTGAAGTCCTTGCCCACAAAAAGTTGCGTTGGATTCTTTCAATCATAGTGCAAGTGCGGCTAGGAGACATAAGGAGAGCAACCAGTAAATGGAAGAAGCATTAAGTATTAATCTTAAGAGTTGTAATCGTCCTGCAAAGAACAAAGATACTGCTTGCCATGAGCCAATCCGAGCAATGGTCTTCCTAATAAGATTATGACAGTGTGGATGCTTTAAGGGGCCATGAAAGAGGGGAAGTCTTAGATATCTGGCCGGAAGGTCCCTCAAACCAAATTGATGTTTTTGAAGCACTTGTGCTCTCAGACTGCTACTAACCCCAAAGAACATGACTTTGCTCTTGTGATGATTGAGTTTTTGACCTGTCACCTTGCAAAAAACATCAATGATGTACCTAATGGTCCTCGTCGCTGAGGTCGAAGCCTCCCTGAAGATGAGGGCGTCATTTGCATAAAGGAGGTGAGTGACTCCATAGTTGCACCCCGATGGTTGCACCCCGATGGAAAAGGAGGGGGGAGTGATTTGTCGACAGTAGTGGCATCGATCAGTCTACTGAGATAATCCATGACAAGGAGGAAGAGGTATGGGGATAGAGGGTCACCTTGTCTAAGGCCTCTCTTACTCTTGAAATAGCCCACAGGGGATCCATTATGCAAGATAGAGAAGATGGTGTAGTGATGCAATGAAAAACCCAGGTTATAAAAATGTCTAGAAACCCCATTGCATGTAGTCTGTTGGATATGAACCCCCATGAGACCTTGTCATAGGCGTTGCTGAGGTCCAACTGAAGACACATCTTTGGTCTGGCTGAATTCTTGTGGCACAAGGAGATTAGTTCGCTGGCCATGAGGACATTATCGGTGATTAGCCTCCCTTTGAGAGATGCAGCCTGGCAAGAATAGATTTGTCCATCAAGTACCCTTCTAAGTCTGTTTGCCACTATCTTACTAATAATTTTGTACAATACATTACAAAGGTCAATTGGTCTGAAATCTCGCATAGTAGTGCGGCAGGAGACTTTGGGAATCAGACATATGAAGGTAGAATTAAGGGCATTGAGAAACTTTCCTTTATCAAAGAAGTCCTTAAGATCACTTAAGAGATCATTCTTGATAACATCCTAGTTGAACTAATAAAGCTCCACCCCTAAGCCATCTGGTCCCGGTGCACTTTCTGATTTTATATCCCATACGCACTTTCGAATTTCCTCCAGGGAAATTTCATTTGTTAATGCATCACAGTCTTCCTTTGTAAGGCACCTATCTGGAAGGTAATCTGCAGCCATGGGACTCACTAGAGTGGCTTCCTGTGTCTTAGGTACTAAAAGCTCCTCAAAATATGCAATGATGTGGCTTTCAGTGGCTTTAGGGTATGAAATTTGGTTGCCGGTGGAGCCTTTGAGGAAGAGGTTTTTATCATGCCGCCTTCTGACTATGGTGGACATATGAATAAATTTGGTATTAGAGTCCCCCTCTTTAAGCCAAATTTCCCTTGATTTTTGTCTCTACATACTCTCCTCATGTGCAGGATATTGTTGCAATTGGGATGTCAGCTGAGCTTTTCCCATGGTAAGGGAAAGGTCATCAGGATGTTCATTGAACATATCATGAAGGGTCGAGAGCCTATTTCTGGTCTCTCTTATCTTGGTGTCAACTAGTCCAAATGTCCTTTTGTTCCATCTACTGATATCCCCATGCAGTCTTTTGAGTTTGGCTGCAAATCTATACATAGGGGTGCCCTCAAGCTTTACCCGCCAAGATTGTTTAATGAGGTCCATAAATCCGAGGCATCCTGCCACATGGTGAAGTATCGGAAAGGTTTAGGGCCAGGTGATGCGTGGGGACAAGGGAGACAAGTAATGGGAAGTGGTTTGAGGTGCCTTTTGGTAAGAGTTCAACCTTGACCTTCGGCATTGCCAACATCCATTCTGTATTAGCCAGAGCTCTGTCAATTCCCTCTCGGATGCACCGAGACCTTGAACTACTATTCGATCATGACAACCACTCTCTCAAGGAACCCAAGTCAACAAGGGCACAGTCCACTAAATTTTTTGCAAAACTCTCAGGGTTTGGACTAATTGCATTTCGACCACCACGCTTCTCTGACCGGTCCAAACTAGAATTGAAATCCCAAAGCATGAGCCACGCCCTAATGATACCGAACTTGATGTTCCGTAGGTGGTCCCACAAAACCTCTCTCTGGCACATAATTTCTACCATACACTCCTGTTATGATGAACGACAGTCCAGTGGTAGGTCGTCCAATGGCAGGTCGAGACACCTTGGCAATAGTAGCTTGGTCATGGACATTAATGATGTTAATAGTATAGATATTGGGGTTCCATAATAGTATAATTCGTGATTTTCCATCTATCTCATTGATCATAAAGGAATTATAAAAGCCAAGCCTCTTAGACCATCTTCTTGCTAATGAAACTTGCATTTTTGTTTCCAAAGAAAGCACATTCCAACATCATAATTTTTTATAAGATTTCGAATATCTGATGTTTGACCAGCTGTATTGATTCCTCTAATATTCCATGACACGATAGACATGATAAAAAGTGAAGAAATAATTAAGAGGAAGAGGTCGAACCTGGGGAGCGACCCCCCCCCTCTTGTTGCACAACAGTGGATTTTCTCTTTGAGGTTCTTTGTGCCTTCAATGTGTTGTTTTTCTGCTGGTCCATATTAGCTCTTGTCTTTGATGTGGTCTTAAGAGAATAACTTGCATCTTCAGCACCTTGTCCTCCACAGGTGTACCAGCAACATTTGGGTTAGGTTGCTCGACATCGGCTTCTAATATAGTAGCAGTCCTGTGGGTGTTGACGGACGAGTCGTTAGTCACAACCCTTCTCAAATGATGGGGAATGAATGCTGGTTCACCCGGAATTTCGTTGACCTGCAATTGTGCACCATCATCAGCAAGTTCGAGAACCTCATCTTTCTTAAGGATTTGAAATGCAAGAATCATATTCATTCTCTTGTGCTTGTTTTTATGCTTGCCCGACTCTCAACCTTTTATCATTATCAACATG